AATGCCCAGCAGGATCCACAGTGTCCTTGATCCTTAACTGCCGTGACAGCACCATGTTTCCTCCAATCGACCTCTCTTGGCAATTCGACGTTAGCTGGCGAGATAAAAGATGCTCCCACAGACTCTATTCCAGCACTCACTGACTTATTGAAACCATTCAAAGTACTGACAAATTCATGATGCAACTACAAGAGAAATATACGTTTCATGAAAAATTGCTCGCTTCCTAATACAGATAAATTTGCTTATCGGAAACTTACCATATCTCCATATTTGTTCATTCCCAGTTTGTAGGGAACTTCCTTCATCTCATATTTGCGATTATGTTCGGCGATCTTGCGTGTGTTATCTAAGAAGATTTTCATTCTATATCCCTCCTCGATCGGAGATTGGTAGACCTTTTTATGATGCGTCTTAGAATAATAACAAATATAATTAGTATTTATTTATTTTCCAGCGCCATTTCAATTTATAAATCTTATTTAATAATTTCAATGTTATAGACTCGAAAATTTCTCGCAATCGTGCCTTCTTTGATTCGCTAACAAGCGTTGGATCAGATTGTCTGCTATCAAATACTTTATACAAGCTATCAAATATATTTTACACTGATCCACAACATTCAAAAGTAATCTGTGACTGATAAACAAGATATCTATATTAATGTTGTGTCTAAATGTAAGAAGTAGTAACTGAATATGGGGAGCTAGACTTTCATTATACTTTATTTAACTTTTTAGATTAAACCTCATGACGCAAGACGCAGTAACCTTACGCTATTGGGAAGTGCGATGGTTTTATACCTTAAAAATAAACCACTCTGCATCCAAAATCTTGTTGAAGGAAATGGCCTGTCCCGTGGCAAGGACAGCCAATAACAGCAAAGCCACTACGCTCTTCATCATGACTCCTTGATTAAGCTACCTAGAATTATTTCAATAAAATATAGGTTAGACGTAAAGTCATTGATATGAAACGAAGTAGCTATATTGTAGATTAAAACGAATATACTAAAATATGTCATGACAATCCTGTTCGAGCAAATTCACGGATATTATTATAGTGCGTTATCAAATAAAATTACAATCTAACAATAAGGCGAGATAATCTCGATTGTCTCCAGATATTGAAACGCTGAGCAGACTTCAAAATTTTATATAAAAGAAAGATGATGAAACCAAAGTATTGGCAAATTTATGATGCAACTACGAGAGAAATATACGTTTCGTGAAAAACTGCTTGCTATTAAAACGGAACTTTGTCCTGATGCCGCAAATAAGCATGAACGAAATTTTACACACAAGAAAATCACAAAAACTTGAAAAACGTTACGTCAGCGCAACTACGTCATTTTTGTGGTTATCGCTAAGGTTATCATCAAGAATTTTCATCACATTAAGACGGAACCATTTTGTTCTTCCAGGATTGTCGAGCGATATGCGTGTGTGCAAGTGCGTAAAAAAAATGCCCCGAGGTCAATCGAATGAAAATCTCGGCTACGCCGCTCACGGTTTCGACACAATTTCCTCTCCTGCGTCACAGCCTCCGGAGTAATCGCTCGATTCGATTACCTACCCTGCCGTTTGTACAATTGCGGTTTT